ATCGCGAGGTCGCTCTCGCACTCATTGCACACTCTCTCGGTGCGCTCACTCTCTTGTGCCCCCCCATCCTCTCTCATGCCCTCTCTCCTCTTGCTCATCGTGCTCGCTCATATATAACCCTCATTTTAATGCAGGTAAAACTTTTATACAGGTTTTCTCTTCCTCGTTCTTGCAGGTGGCTGAAGTTCTTCAGGCAGATTCTTGGCTTGGAGAACTTGAGTCAAAGTAGTGGTTGACCGAATTATAAGTGTGGTGGGGAGAGAAGTTGGGGGGAAATTAGTTGCTTTATGTTAGAAGTTGGGTATTTCATATTCCAAAGAATGATGATGATATATACGCATGACTTTTAATCCCCAAAATAAACATCATGTATCCTATGGCAAATGAAGTTGCAAAGCATTTTATGGCTTGTGTGTTGGCATCGCTTCGTTTAAAAATTGGTCACTTTTGTGGTGACGCACTTGTTAAACTGTGTGGGCGGCTGTAATAGTCTGGGACAGGAAACGAGCTAAAACTGTGCAAAATAAAGCTTTCCTTTTTTCAGACTTTGCTAGCTGAAACTAGGACTAAGACACAACACAAGGACTAATGTCAGTCATGCTCACTGAAACGTGCCGTGAGATATTCTAATAAGCTCTGCAGCCCTAATCGCTAGTGTTTGTCTCATCAGAGTGTCTCGCGTTAATGTAAAGGTTTAGTAATTCCCTGCCAACGTGGTGGTGGTGCTGTGCTGGCTTAGAGGTGAAAATATGAGTGAGTCCCTAAACGTGGATTTATTCCCTTTCCTTGGTGAGTGAAACAAAAAACCTCTCCAGGCACCTTTTCTTTCAGAGCGTTCCTCTTGCTAGGATGAGCATGAATCGGAAGGACATAGGTAAAAATCTGAGAATGTGTTCAGTAGCTCAACCAAGATCCATGCTTTGCAGTAAATGTGCCCCCAGTCTGTATTAAACCTTTTCGAAAAGGGAAAGAAAATGAAAGTGGAAGTCCAGACACTTGAAATGCTGCCATGTGACTATATTTAGTAAAGGGTTTTCCTAGCTTTTTTCCGAGCAAGGTGTGGTAGAGTTAAATAATTCTCGTGGCCATGAAGGCCACCAGTTGGTTATGAATGAGTGCCAGTGAAAGGAAACACATGACAGCTGTTTTTCTGTTTATTAAACTAGATAACTTTCTTGAGTCTTGAAATAGAATGACCCAGAAATTATATATTCAATAACAAACCTGTTATGTAGTAACCTACTCGGGCAGAAGAGGGCTGATCGTTCTATTTTTAAACTAGTTCTGGGCTTATATAGGAAGTGTGAAGCAATAAGGCTGGTAATGGTGAAGGCCACAGCCCTGTCATAAATGCTCATACCGATGGCTCCAGCGATGGTCTGACTGGGAAGACTGCATGCAGAAGAACATTTAATTCCTCTGAGTGGCTTGATGAATAATGTGTAGAACAAAAGGATAGATTTTTATTTAGCCACAAGCTTAATTGCGAAAGCAATGGGTAGGTTTTTGTAGTGGCAAGGGCAGCCCCTGGCGAGTATCTTGGTTATTTTATGTTTTTATTTTCACATGCAATGCAAGTTTCATTACTCCCTAATAAAAAATGTTTGAGCAGAAGTGGTTAAAGAGAAGGAAATTAAGAAAATACAATGTGACGCTAATTGCACAGGCAGCAGCTTGCGTAGTGCAGTTCGGAATCTGGTTCAGCATATTTGATGGGGAGATGTAAATTTTGAACAGTTTAAGAGCATATGTATAAAGTTAGTGGCACTGTCCAAACAATTGGTTTCAGTTTTGCATCTGAGAAGACCAGTTTTCCTCTCTTGATTTCCGTTCTGTTGTGTAGATCGTATCAGGAACTAATTTGAAGTACATTAATAAAATTTATACTCGGTTGTGTCATGCAGAAGCATGCGTATGGTTGTCATCAAATGGTAGCACAGACCAGAGCTTCAAAAAAGTTTGGAATTTTGCTGCAGCTCCCAGTGTGACAGAACTGGATTTACTTTCCTGGGTGTGCAGTAACAAGCTGTTGAGGTCCTGAGGTGTCATACGTGACTTACTCTGCTGCTGTTTGTGCATCTTCACTTACAAATGCGTTTGTAAGTAATCATAAATCAGAAGTTTTACTCTTCTAATGTTTTGTAGCATCTTTTTTGTAAGTGTTGTAATTTGAGGCTTAACAATTAGGCTGAGGTTTTTGCACAGTTACTCCAATTAGTGTCTGTGTGCCATGCCTTGAATGAGCAAACACTTCAGTTTGTAATTCGGATTTTTGGAATACTTCATGCATACTTGGACATTAAATGTACTGATGTTGCTTATAGCAATAGGATGGAAAAGTGTCAAATATCTTGGTATATGTATTTGTCTGAAATCTCATAGACTTGTTCTCTCCAGGTTCAATAAATCACTTGATCTTATGTACACTTTTATCACATCTTGCAAAGCTATAGAGAATAGTCTGTCACATCTAAAATCCTGGTAGCAGTCCAAAAATATCCACGCAGCCAGCTGTTTGCAGCTCTTGAGGCGATATATTTTTTCTGACATCAGTGAAATTTATAGCCTGTACCCACGGTGTCAGCAGTGTGTGTGTTTATACGTAAAACCAGAAAGTACATCTATATATGTCTATATATTAAAAAATACAAAAATGCACACATAGGTACAGGTATGGGGCCACAGGATTTAAAGCCAACCTGTCTTTTGTTTCAGTCAGCAGATAAATTCACAGAAAGGTTGTCTTTAGTTTTTCTGCTTATATTTTCTGTAACGCCTGCCTGACTCGGCAGGTGCTGGGGTGTGCGGAAGCAGGAAGGGGGGCTGCAGAGCTCCTTCCATGGCCATAGGCTTAAGAAATCACTGCTAGCCATGTGGAGTAATTGCCATGCCTTGCTCCCTTCTAGGCATGTATGCCAAGATAAAGGATTTAACTGCAGTCCTGGATTTCTCTCCCTTAATTTAGGGTAAGAATTGAATAATGCGGGATGAACTTTGTGCCCAGCTTTTGCAAATCTTGTGTGATACTTGAGAAAGTATGTCTTCGTGACCCAAGCATTAGGTTTGTGATTCCAGCAAGATTAAGAATTGCGGTTGCTGCTGCTGGTAGTGCTAGCTTCACTTTCTCAGCTTCGGGAGAAATCTGCAGGGAAGATATGATGGTGTAGGAGGAGTTCGTAGACGGTGTTGTGTACTGTCTGTTCTGCATGGGAATTTTGGCAGCGGGCTGTGCCATGTATCAACTACTGCCTTGCTCATTACAGGACCATCGTTTTGCTCATCCCTTCCTTTACTTCAGAAAATCTGTTTTCTGTATAGAACTTTGTTTTTTCTGAAGTTTGGGAAGTACTTTGAGACAAAAGCATGGCTTACTGCTAGTTAAACTAACAGTGGGTTCTGACATTTAGGTGGATGGGGTTCTTCACAAAACTAGAAATTTTTCATCCAAAAAAAAAAAAAAATCTGGGAAAGCACCAAAGCATTCTTCTGTTGCACCACCCTAGCAGTGCTGATACTGGTTTATTTTCTTCATTCTGAAAAAAATTGAGATGCTGGAAACATCTTTGGCAGTAAATCTTCCTTATTCTAAATAGGTACCTATCCAGTCTGCATTATCAGCTGTACTGCTACATGTATGGGTATTTCTTTTAAGCTAAGCTTTTTGTAAGTGTAGTGAGAGAACCAGCCGTTGAGATCACACGTTTATCCTGACCCTCTCTAGAACGATGTCAGTACTGCTGCTAGATTCGGAATTAGTTGCTCTATAGGGCTGTGACAGAAAGACTGATAACTAAATGGAAGGGGAAAGTTTGTTCTGCTTCTCACCCAAAAGGTGCACTTCTAGAGTAAGATTGTCCCATACATAGAGCTGTATAGCGCAAGCGGAATGATGCCCACGACACTTTATGGAGAGGTACTAGTCTCTGCTCAGGAACCATAGAAGGCAGCCACATGCATGCAACTACTCCACTTGATGTCGATGAAAGACTCAAAATACTGTGTCATGTCTGGTTTGGCAGTGCTGCTTCTTGGAGGAAAGGGCCACCAGCAGTGCCTGCAGTGGGAGGTGTCCTACAACGCCTTACTGATCTGCTTGTGCTGTAGCCTTGATCACAGGGTTTTGTGACAAAATCCAGCATGATGAGTAATTGTGATTCTGCACTTCGTCTTGTTTCTCTGTTGTGTGCTGCTTATTTCTGAGAAGTTAGGGAAGAGAATTAAACACATTGATTTCAGGTATAAAACTCGACGTATTCTGCAAAACAGGATGTCTCCAGACTCTCTCCAAGACCTGTTTTATAGGGGAAGGTTAAATAAACTTGGTGCTCGATGGTCCCCGATGAATGGTGCAAGCGCTTCTCTGCGTATGCTTTTCAAGTGGAACCGATCTTTTCCTCCAGCAGTGGTGTAAGGGGAGAACACATGGTCACTAGGGAGAACATTTTCATCATTTTATGTGTAAAGCCCCTTTATTGTCAGTTAAGTGGCTTGGTTTTATTTGGTATGGTTAATAAGCAGTTGGTTCCTATGTTAGCCACACATCAAACTTAGTTTGTGTTCAGTGGTTAAATAGTGTCAGCCCAGAGAGGAAAAGTAATTTGATGTTCTCTTAGCATGTGGAACATACTGTATTTATCTAATTGTGTATTCAGTTTAGGTTTCATTTCAGGCTGTAGTGGGCGTTTGAATCATCGCTCTCTGTAGTTTAATCCTATTTGCCAGATTTCAGGAAGTTTGCATCCAACTTGAAAGAATGTATGTAAGCCCTGAATAGAAATGCTAGGAATAGGTAGTTCAACCAAATCTTTTTCCTGGATAAACTGCTTTTAAAGTAATATTCCTCAAAAGCCTTTGTTTTATTCCAGGAACAAAGGAGAAAATATAATAATGGGGAGGGATCATCTTAACTTTCATTCTCTGGCTTTGTAAACTGAATTTTTGAAGGCTGTAATGCTTCTCCCTTAGTATGTTTTGCAGCCTTGGCTTTAATATTAAAATTCACTGTTCTCTCTTCCGCAGTATTTGATTCTGAAACTTGAAAGACCTGCCATAGTCCAGAGTATCACATTTGGCAAATATGAGAAAACGCATGTCTGCAATTTAAAGAAGTTTAAAGTCTTTGGTGGCATGAATGAGGAAAACATGACAGATCTCTTATCCAGGTAAGATGTGATTTCATCAGCTATGGTAATCATAAAGGCTGGACCAAAATACTCTTCCCCTTTGTTCCCAAGCAGACACATGGCTAACAGTGCAATAGAGCTGTGGTTGTGATCCTGCAATTAGCTGCCCTTGTGTTTATGGTTAGGTCAGAGAGGAGCAGTCCCAACACTCGCTCCAGGAAGCCTTCCTCATTCTGCTCTAACCACAGAGGATTTGTGGAGAGATTTGGAAGAGCTGGGAGCAGGGTGCAGTGTTGCTGGATTGCGATTCCTTTCTTCTGTGTGCTTGAGGCACAAGAGAAATGATTACCCAGGTGTGGGTAACTTAAAGTAGCTTTTAAAAGCCCAAATAACCTGCTTATGTCAAGAACCTCATTGCAGCTGTAAAGGTCTGAACTAGTCAGCTGCTCTGCCTTTCTTCAAATGGGTAAATAAATCAAATAAGCAAATGGAAAACCTGTGGTTTCCTTTGTTTAGTTTGATTTGGTAGTTGTATTCACAGGGACTAAAGAAAGAGCCTGTTGGCTATTCAAGCTATCCAGAGCTTCTGAGTAGTTGCTAATGTAAATTTGCAAGGGCCTTTTAAAGAGTCTTCTGTTTCAGAAAGGGAAATGATGTTTAGATATCTATGAGTACATGAGAAGTGAGTAGCAAGAACTAGTCTATTTTTGGAGGCCTACAGAAGGAAAGTCCACCTCCGGGGAATGTATGGGTGTACATCATCTGTAGCCAGGCAGAATAGCCATGGAGAAACACGGGAAGGTCTTTGTTGCAGGTTATCCTTCAAGACCGTATAGAAACTAGCCACAACCCTCCCCGCACTTTCGCCCTCTTTAGATAGGCCAGTCTTGCAATTTGACTTTATTGCTGCTAGAATTATGGGGGAAGAGGTCTTAGTAGCATAGTAATTATTGATACCTAATGTCATTTCACTTGCACTTAAGTTTAATAAAAATCCTTATTTTGAGACCTGTACTTGCATCTTCAGTAAAAATGGACTTAAGATTTTTGATAAATTATACTAAATATTTGATATTTTTATGAAGTAATGCCCATAAATGGATCACAAAGCACTTTGGCGGTGTGATAATTCTGAGAGCTGGTCCATCTTCCTCGTGAAAACGGAAGAGTGCGGTTCAGGCAGATCGCTTGCTGAAGTCGCAGGGTTACAGGCACAGACGGGCAGCATTGATCCGATGTCAGTTCCCTCCTGAAACCACTAGCCAGTGCTGCCTCCCAGGAAGATAAGATGGTGGATAGCAGTCCAGGCATTGGTCCAGCATGCGTACTTATGATTCATAGTAATATGAAACAAACTTCGCATTTCAGGCATGACCTAGATTGCGTTTATTAGCTAGTCCTAAAATACAAGGTAAGATTTAGTAACCTTATTTATTTTTTCCCACAGTGGCTTAAAGAATGATTATAACAAAGAAACATTCACCTTGAAGCATAAAATTGATGAACAGATGTTCCCCTGTCGATTCATTAAGATAGGTAAATGCATTTTTTCAGCATTCTGAGTAGAAAATAATCTCTTCTTATACTTGTGCCAGTCTTGGCACTTGTGACTTCATTGTACTCAGGCAAAGTATCCACAATAGCTGTTCCATTTCATGATCTTTTAGGCTGGTTAGATTGGAACACAGTGAAGTCCTGTTACTAAGAAATAATAGCTTCATAATTTAAATCCTGGGGAATGAAAGCAAAATATAGTAATTTTCAGAAATACAGTTGTTGAGTCAACTAATTGCTGGAGAAGCTGCTTACTGTCCTACTATAAATTGCTATAGAGAGCTTTAAAAAAAATCATTAAGCTAAATACCAGTAAAAATTTCAGCGTTGACAACCCTAGAGTTTGAAAAAGGTTGAAGTCTTTTGTTCTCAAACACGCTCACAACACACAGAGCAACAGCAGAAGCCTTCCTTGTTCTCTTCCTGCTACGCTAATCATGTCTCATCTTCGGCTAAAGATGACCTCCAGGGGCAAAGAAGAGTTACACCCCGTGATGTCTAATCTTGTTTCTGTGGTGAAGCTTGCTAAGGGGGTGCTAACGAAGGCCAGTTACTGTGACTTGTGATGGGAGCGGGTGAGGATCTCTCTTCCTTGCTTCATGCAGGCCAGAGAGAACAAGTATCTTACAGTGGCAGTCAGCGATACTGGTTGGATTTAATCCAAGAACTTAGAGCCTTTCAGCTTTTTCGTAGCTCAGTAAATTTATCTTCCCCTTCCTGCCTACTGAGATAGTAAAAGAATGACTGGTTTTAAACTAGCTGTTTAAGGTTAAAAACAGAGCAAGGAGGTAGTTGTTGAAAAATGAGATAAGATCCTGTTGGCTAATTTAGATGAATTTAGGGGTATTTTGAAGTGTTAGGTAATTCCTTTGCCAAGACTTAGATGATAGCGGCTGTGTAGGGGCTCACTTCGGAGCCCTTTGCTCTAGTGTCTTCTACACAGCTTTCTGAATCTCCTCTCAAGTTTGCCTGAGGAATTGAAAGCTTGAGGCTGAGAGTCAAGTAGTCATTTGTGTGCCATAAATGGGGGTGTTTCCCATTCTTAGAAAAGTAGAGAAATTGGTTGTTCATTGGCTTTGTTTTTGGCTGCTACTTTTGGAAGCATCTGTAACACTTGGCTTTAGGAAACCTCAAGAGGAGCAGAAGAATAGTTAGAGTTAAAGGTTGACTGTATCAGGAAAGTTAAATTGATTATTTTTTTTTAATGTATTCTGAAGCTTCCTGCTCTCGGTTTTTGGGAAATGTTATTTTTCAGTGGCTAAAAAACAGCAAGTAGTTACTGGAGGGCTAAAGGGGCAAATGGAAAGATTACTAGCTACTTCTCTGGATGTGTAAATTATATTCCAGCAGAATGTGTTCTGATGTTATGAAGTGTAGCAGTAAGTTGAAACGTGTTAGAGAAGTGAAATGCTGATTAATTTCTACTACCAGGATTTTTTTTCTCTGACATGACATGAGTAGTATTAATAGTTACATGGCTTGTTTTGTTGGGATGGGTTCCTCATGTAGCAATAAGGATTCTGTTTTATATATTAATATTAGATTTTTATTTAACTGTCACTTTCTCACTAGATGGTTTGAGATGTTTTCCTTTTTAGCTATATCTATAGCTTTTTGTTTCTTGAAGCTATCTTCTATGAAGAAATTCCTATGCTGGGACGGAAATTAGAATGGTCTTTTCACCAAAACCTATTAAAACCTCTAGTTGATGGCTAGTGTAATTTTGTTTATGAAGTTGTGAGAGTGTGTTTTGCTGTGAAACAACTGCAAAATGATGTTACGAAATTCTGTTATTTTTCAGATTCACAGCTTGAATATGTTTTCAGTTTGTTAAAATTTCCAAGCTGCTAGCCAAAGTAACTCAAAATTCGAAATAACGTGCTGTGTTCCTTGTAATGCTGCCAGTAAACATGAGGCCAAAAGCTGCCCTTTTGGACTCTCAGAGACCGACACCGCAAAAGTTACTGTTATCAGTGAGGTTTGCGTATTTGGGGAAGGCATTAGTTAGTTCGGCAGCAACTTGCATCAGGCATTTGCTTTCTAATTCTGCAGATAAGCATACTGACCTATACCAGTTAATAACTGTTAATTACACAACAGTGTAATGACCACTGTTAATAACGCAACAGTGAGGTTTATATGGGAGGAGAGGACAGGAGGAATGTGACATGAGTAGATCCGTAAGAGGGGAAAATACTTCCTACAGCTTTCATTGCTCACATATTAGAGGAGGTTTCAGACTCATAAAAGGCAGAAAAAAATAACTTCTCTCTCCTTTTGTCAAGAAAAGACTTGCACTTCTTTTAGTTTAATTAGTTCAACTTCAGTTCCTTAGCACTGAAATGCCCAGTTGTGCAGGCTTTTGACCTACTTGACAAGTAATTTTTACATTTCATCTAGTTCCTCATTAAAGAACTTGGGAGGGGAAAGAAGATATTTATCCAGACCAAATAGGAAGAATAATCTTTTTAAAGTCCATGAGCTTTTGTTTCTGGCTCTGTTTTTGTGGTTATAGAGATTTTTTTTTTTGTACTGTGTCCTTGAAAGCAGAAGGTGTTGTAAAGACTGATTGCCATGAAAGAGCTTGAAGAAATGCTGGGTGTAATTCTCATGCCAGTTTGTTACTAGCATGGGAGTTACTAACTAGGCTTCAAGATTTTGAAGCTTTGGTATAGTAGAAATGAGCAATACTTTCTTTACGGATGGCTCCTGTGTTGAACGTATTGACTACATCTTTACCTGCATTTTTCCAAACATACGCTGTTTGTGTGTCTGCTGGCTGTAGATGAGGGACATGGAAATTAGCTTGAGAGAGGTATTTGGAATTATTGTACTGTATTTAATGCTTGAGAGGTATTTGAAATTATCGTACTGTGCTTAATGCCTCTGCTACTGTCCTCTTTAGTGTACAGGGTTGCAGTCCTTGTCTAGGCAGAGCTTCCGATTATGGAGAAATAGCCCCTAAAATCATCCTTGTGTGGGTGACCTAAATACCTTCTGCTTCTGTTGAAGGGATATTCATTTTTTTGTTATTATTTTTTTCTTCTTCTGCTGGGCATCTCATTGTGGAGTTGACAGTTCAGCTGGTCTGAACGGTTATATGCGTTTTAGGGTGGATTGCTGTAGTAAGTGCAGCAAAAAAACATCCTGAGGTGGCTTTATGGTAAAAACTGGAGAAATAACTGTAGCTTTAGGCTTCAGATTCAACACCTTCAATCATAGTGTATTTCCACCTCAAAGGTATGTGTGTGTGGAAAAAAGCAATAGAGCAAACAGTGGATAGCATAAGAGAGAGCCTCTGCAGCTGTATCGCAGGGTAGGGTGTTCACTGATTTTTAGAGGAGGATGTTTCTCCGCTATTGCGGAAGCTCTAGTAGGTTTGTGTCTACCTAGGCTGCGGTGTGAAATCTAACGTGGGTGGAGGGGAGGACAAACGAAAACCAGCCGTTGGGAGATGTGAGAAAAGAAACGGCGTTGGACCCAGGAGGGCTTATATCCGCACCCAGCATCCTAGACTGCTGTTACCACCAAACCTTGTGCAAAAATACAAATGAGATTTGTGTGTCACACTGACAAGTAATGCTTATCACTCTTTGTGTGACTGTTGCTACTTCTGTGCTGCACTTGGCGTCTCCTTGTTCCGGGTCTAAGTTAGATTGTGGCTGCTCTAAAAGGAGATTTGTCGAAAGATCTAAGCACATCTGTGGAGGCTTCAAAAAGGAGAGGGCAGAGGGAAGGATGAGAGGTGTCTCCGTGTAGTCTGGGAGCCAGGGAAGAGGTTCAAAAATGGGGAGATGATCCAGCAGAACATTTGGTCTTTGCTAAGGGAATAGAAATCACATTACAGTTTGAACTCTTATGCTTTGTTTCTTTTCCTACTCCTGTGGAGTAGTTTAGAAAGATGAAATTCAGTTTTCTCTGCCTGTGCAGCACTGTGTTCCCTAACCAACTTAACGTCTGTGTTTTCCTTAAAGTAGATGATTGCACCATGAAAATCTTGACGTTTAAATCACCATTTCTGGTATTTTGTTGCCTTCTTGTAAACAAGACTGTTGAAAGCTCTGAGTTAACTGGTGTGGGGGGGAAGTGTTAGCAAGTTGATGGCTTTGCATTTTTTTGTGGTGATAGCTACCCAGGATTTTTATGCACGTCCTGATATGTCTTTCAGGCTGGCTACCAAGATAAAGGGTGAACTGTTAAATTTTTCCAGGAGAAGCTGGTATAAGTCTTGAGACGAGATGCTGAAAAGAAATAGAGGTGGACACCTCTGCTTTTTTTCTGGAATGAGGTGGGAAGGTGGTAATACTTAGGTTTGGTTTTTCACCCAGTAAACTCAGTATTACGAAATTGGCCTCAGGTTCACCATCAGGAAATTTATGGTCTTGGTCCATTTGAGGTGGTCTGTGGTTTGGTTCAGTGTTTCAGTGCAAGAAGCTGCTGGATAGGTTTTGATTCTTTATAGCTGAGCAAATATCAAATTTAACTTCAGTTTGGTCTTGGTCTGTGTTTGGGTCTGAGGAAACATCAAAGGTGGTATTTTACATTTTACTCTTACGTGTGGTATTTTGTCAGTCTGCCACCTTAATAGGTGGGATACCCAGGATTAAACTTATCTGTGTACTTGGATTTAAAAGTGGTAATGTTTTATGGTATTAAGGTACCATATTGGCAGCACTCATCTTGTGCAGAGGACAAAACTAAGCAGGAGAGAAGTTTCCTGGGCAGAGTGTACGCAATGTGGACAGAAGACAGGTGACTCTTGGTTTTCCTGACCAGTTTACTTCTCTCCTGTCTCCACAAACATGCACCTACTAGGAACTGCTCTGAGAGCATCTCACTTGGTATGCTGAACGATCAAATAGAAAGAAACTGTTTGAACAGGATGATTTGAGAGCTGTAATGTATGAAGTACCTACTTACGGATATTAAAATCAGTTACAAATTGCATATTCAAAGTCTCTTTGGATCTTTTCTAAAAATCTCTTCTCCTGATGACTGTTCCCAGAAGTTGTCATAAGTATTTACCAATAGGTTCATAGAAACACCCTTTAATATTTAGAAGATCATGTGTTTGAACATATGCTTTGTGCCCAAACACATTGCAGAAAATGATAGATCTAGCTTGTTTGAAGTGTAAATACTTAAGAACCTTTAACAGCTCAGGAGCAACTTTAAGACAAATCTTGGTTTTTATTTCCTCAAGGAGTAGGTCAGAAAACCATTAGTTTAATGAGTTAATCTCAGTGGTATTTTATAGTGGTTTGAAAGACAACAAGCAATTTCTCTGTGGCAAAAATAGTTTCTGTGGAAGGGAGGAAGTAGTGGACTCCATGCTGTTGCTAGTAACTACTCATTCATCTCTAATATGATCTTTTCCTGTTTATCAGTTACGGTCAAATAAAAAGGAAACAAAAGTATTTGAAATGAAACCACTTGACTTCACTGCAGTTTTAAGGAGTCAGAGTTCACACAAGTTTTCTGGGGACTGGAGTTGCTCTGAAAAGCAAAACCAAGTCTTAACCTGCAGATTAATCAGTAGATCAGTGCAAGACCATAGATGTTAACACAGAGTGGTAGAGAGCCTTAGGTGAGAGGCTGCTGTGTGTTTGACAGGTCATTTAATATTTTAAGTATCTCTGTTCCAATACGCAGATAAAATGGTATTAGCCAAAAAGCTGCACAGATTTAAGCTTAAAAAAAAAAATTAGATACAGTTTTAAAATTGGAAACTGACAGTTTTCCCTCCCTCCCTCCTCCATAACTTGCAGACGTTACTAATTTTGTAAAGTTTAAAATACTCAAGCTTCTTGTCTTCACCTTTAGGTAAAATAATTGTTGCTGACAAATGTGGAAATAAATGTACTATGAGGAGCAAATACTGTCGCTAGTATGCTCGTGATTCCCATCCATGTCAAAGCTTGTTGCCTCTTTGAGCTGTTTTAAATGATAGTATTTTTGCTCTTTTGCTTAAAGCAAGCTTCTGCTTTGTAATGAATGATCTGCTGTGTTGATGTTGCTCGGCACAGGTTGCTTTAAACGACAACTTTAGCATGATGTATTTGGTAATTTTCCGAAGCTTACTTAAATGAACTAGAAGTTACATCAAATCAGAAATACTGAATTTTGTGTAACCTTTAAAAGCATTCTGTTGAAATAGTACTACGTATAGTCTGATGAGACTAATGCAGCGGTTGTTTGATGTTTATGCATCCTTTTTCTCCTTTTCCTTTCTTCTCCAGTTCCACTCTTATCCTGGGGACCTAGCTTCAATTTTAGTATCTGGTATGTTGAACTTAATGGCATTGATGATCCAGATGTGGTCCAGCCGTGCCTCAACTGGTACAGTAAGGTAGGCCTGCATTTTAGATGCCTGTTTGTTTGAAGATTTGTAGTCTCAAAATCTTGTGAAATGTCTCTTACTGGAATTATGTGACCTTTTCATTCCTTGAATATCAGCTGTTAAAACAACAAACACGCATAGTTAAAACTCAAACCACATGGCTGACTTTGACTCTAAGTGAATCTTTTTGAATTGTATCTGCTTGTTCTCTTTAAAAAAACCAACAGAACGCCCCCAAAAAACGCAAAACCACCACCACAAAAAAAAAAACCTACAAAAAAACCCCTGCTAGGTAGACCTCACAAGAAAAACATAAAAGAAAGGAACACTGAGTCAAAGGGGACAATATTAGTAAAGTAGTATTTGTATTGGATGGGAAATGAATCTTAACAAAACCAGATTCCGTTTCTCCTCTTCTTGCCTTTTGATTAGGCATTCTTTTATCATACCAGTCCTTCTGTAGAGCTATACGTAGCCTAGAGCCTCTTGAGTTACATGTGCAGCTTTTGTTACAGGGTATAAAAATGAGCTTGTTTCAAAGAGAATCCACATTGGTGTCATTCCTGTTGCAGCTCCTTGCACTTCTGATGTTTCCCTCTTACTGTCTTTTTGCTGAATACTCTGGAACAGAGGGGAGCTGATGCCACTGGACTGTGAGATGAGATGATTTATACCATTTGTCACTTTGATAGACAGAAAGTTCAAAGGGTTCTAAACATTATTTGTATAAACTGTATTTAATTGAGTACAACAGATGCCTCTCCTGTGGGAGGGAAGCGCACATTGACAGCCAGAATTCATTTATTTGCTGCTTTTTATGCATAGATCTTCTGGAACAATTCTTGAAATTCATATTGTGTTACAGAGAAGACGTCCTTCCCAGCTGAATAAGACTGGGTAGTGGAGCAGCATATCTCTGCTTCCAGAAAGAAAAACTTAAAAGGAGATAAAGATTGTGCATTGTGGTACTGAGTCTCCCTCACCAGTTTATGGCGTTGCCAGTATGGTAAAGAAACCTTGTGGCCATGCTATCTGGCTCGTACATGTTGATACCAACATCACAAGCTTCTTCATGGAGCATTTAAAAACAGCACTAACAGTCACAATGGAAGTTGTCTGTAGCTGTTCTATGATTAAAGTGGTATTGTGGTCACTATTCTGCTGATTACTGATGTCCAATTCCAAAAAGTCCAGTTGACAGAGGCTGCTGATGGTTTTCTGTGCTTCTTTCTGCTGCCTGTGCACATGGTAGTGTCTGTGGCATTTTTAACCAGCTGCTGTAATCAGGAAGCTCTGATTTGTATTTTTTTTGGTCAGGAGCCATCTGATGATGATGTCAGCATCTGTTTTGTTCCATCTTATCCCATGGAATCGACACTTTTCATGGTCAGCATGTATGTAGTGACAGCTTCTTCAAGGGATGCCAGCATTGTTCTTCTAAAGCTTAGAGCCCTAAAGCAGCAAGGCAGAGACTTAGTCATGATTGTTTGGGCTCTACTAGGATCAGTTGCCAAGTTTTTGGTGATGAGTGCATGTCTCACTGGTGTTCTGCTCTCTCTCAGTCCTGAGAGGCCACTGTTGCCGGATCCACGTAGGAGGATATATGTGCTGACCCATATTTGCGGAAAGGCAGAAAGGTTGACCTGTTTCTTCCAGTTCTTTGAGATGGTGTGAATATTTTCATGCATGTTCTTAGAAATCTCAAAGGCTTTGAAATCTAATAATTCTTTACTGCCTGAGACATCAGATGAGAAGAAGGTTCTACACAAAGTTGCCCATCCTTTTTTGTTGTGTGTGCTTCAACCAACAAAACCTCCCTCTCCTGAAGGGAGTGGAGTTGGGGGTAACAGACAAGGACGCAAAGCAGCGAGCATGTTCCTCGGTTCCCTCCCTACTGCTTTCTCCTTGCTGTCCCCCTCAGCCTACTGCCTCCTGAAGGCCTTACTGCTTTGCTTTTACTGCAGAGTGGGCATACTTTAGCAACTAGTTCAAGCATTGGAACAGGCTGCCCAGGGAAGTGGTGGAGTCACCACCCCTGAAGGTATTTAAAAGACGTGTAGATGTGGCACTTAGGGACGTGGTTTAGTGGTGGACTTGGCAGTGTTAGGTCTGTGGTTGGACTTGATCTTAAAGGTCTTTTCCAACCTAAATGATTCTATGATTCTAACTAGTAAGTGGCAGTTTATCAATGGCTATCGCTTTTGTTTTTGATAATGAACACTTAAATATTTTTAATTCTACTAGTGTATTTGACAGTGTTAATGTCTTAGTCTCATGCTCTTGTTACGTTTTTAGCCATAGGAATTATTTACAGCTTCAGATCAAAGCTGCTATTGGGTTGTTATCTCTTTAAACCTGTATGACAGCATTTAGAAAGGAGCCTTTTATATAGTTTTTATACACCTTTTTGCATAAAAAAAAGTTCTTACATTTAACTTCTGAAGTACTACTATGGTGTAACTTAAATACAAACTTTTATATTGCATCGAGTGGCCAACCTGCATCCAACAGTCATTTGTGTGCCCTGTAACCAGAAATAGTCCTCACATGCTGACTCAGAGCACAAAGCCACTCATGAAGATTCTATGATGTTTTGTAAGCCAAGCCTATCGGTCATGAGAGGCTCAATGGAAATACGCCAAGTCTGAATTTTGTCTAACGCCTAAACTAGAGGAGCTGAAAGTGCAGAAGCTGGTTATTACTGGTGTGCAGCTACCCTTTTGCTTGCTATCCCTTTGAGCAACAAAGAATCTGATGTGGTTTTGGCCTTGACTGATGTAAGTGAACGTTTGCTTAAAGACAGTGTCTTAGGTATCTCTCAGGGGAAAAAAAAAAAAGTTTTTTTCCCAGTTGTGCTGTAAAACTCTGTTTTAGCTTTAATATTCCTTTGCCACAGTCTTGCATTTTTATTGGTACGTGTCCTTGGCCTTTTTCACGTGGGCTGGGAACTGATTTTCTAAAAATGCATAGTTCTGGCTATTTGCAGCTGTGAAATACTGATGGATTAAGAACTAAAAATATAGCACATGGCCGTGTTTCTTTTTAGCTGCTTCGGTTTATGAGATTCTTGCTATAGAGCCATTATTTCAAGAGCACTAATTTTTGTTGAATGTTAGCGTTAGTTCCAGGTTTTCAGAAAGATTCCGTTCATTTAAATACTATAAACTTCACTTGCAGCAGTGGAGTCCATTTAGGAGTAAAATCTTTTGTCTGTAATTCGATCAGTCTTACAGATTTTTAAGTTACATTTGCTTTTTACCACAGTAGATGTGTGTTAAAGATGGAAATTGGTATTTTTTTTTCTTGAATGCCTTAGAATTTAGGTTTGAAGAGTCTATTTAAAATAAGTGGTTCTGCTATTTACCAACTAAAAAATCTGTGTTACTTGTGCATATTAGCATCTTTGAAAACGCAGTGGATGATTTGGTAGGTTACCCGCACAAGCTGTAGCTCTTACGCAGAGTTTACTATTCCTTCATGTTTCTGTGCCGGAATGTTCAACCCGAGGTGGGTTTCTCTAGCCTTTCTCACCCCTTCCCACCACTGAGTGGGAAATGGGCAGCTTTGGCTCATCTGTGCTATGAAAGCAGGGGTTCTGCTTCAACATGCATGGGAATATTTTGAAGGTAAAACTTTGGCGTGCGTGTAAATCCTTGCAGCCATTGAGCCGAAACCCTCGCGAACCCACAGGATTTGGGGTCAGCCCTGCCTTCTGCCTTTACGCTGCAGGAGCAGTGGTCATTGCAAGTATTCCTATTCTCGTGGGTTTTTTTTTTTCTTCTGCTTCTAGAAAAGCTGTGACCTACTTACTCTCCTAAATTATTTTGTTATATAAGAGTCATACAATCAAATTATGTAACGCTGATAGCGAAGGCTTTTTCCTGCCCTGTACTTCGTGTAGGCCTCGAACAGCAGGGCCAGGCAGATGGGGGGGGGGAATAATGGTCACTCCAGAGATCTGGGACACTGTGCACTCTCTTCTTGTATGCTTATTAAATTGGATGATATCAAGTTGTATAATTTCTGTACCGAACTTATGTAGGAAAGTAAATGCCTGCACTGTGCACAGCTTGTAATGTCTTTCATATAGTGTTTCTCTGTAAGCTCGTTAGCAATTTATGTGCAGTGTGTGTAAGAGATCCTGCTTCTGTCTCCAGGCAGGTTCACAGGTAGCTCCCAGCAGTGCTGGTAAAAGAAAAAATCTACATGTCTCATAGGTTTTCTTGTGTTCCAGTAGTACCGTGAACAGGAAGCCATTCGCCTTTGCCTAAAGCATTTTCGTCAGCACAACTACACCGAAGCTTTTGAGTCGCTGCAGAAGAAAACCAAGATTGCTCTGGAGCACCCTATGTTGACAGACCTGCATGACAAACTGGTATTGAAGGGAGACTTCGATGCTTGTGAAGAACTGATAGAAAAAGCTGTGAATGGTAAGAGAATCAGAGGGGTCTGGTATATTAATTAAAAAAAAAAAAGCATTGAAATGTTACTGCTCTGAATGTTGATGTACTTAGTAGAATTGGCTAGTCTGTGCGCTATTTCATGTCTAGTGTGGTGTACTGTCAGCTTTTGGACTTGTGAGTATGTGTATGATGAAGGCTAAAAGTTCAGTCATGAAATCTCTTATCACTGCTACTTTTGGAGTCTCTTTCCCCCAGAGATGACAACATGGTGCACTTGAGTGGGTAAAGATAAGTTCTTCACGTAAGTGGCTGGCAAGCTGAAGGTGGGTTTGACTATCAGAAAAGTCACTGGAGTGGTGAGCGGGGAAGCGTAAAACTTGAGTTCACAGTAGTGATCTGTATCATGGTTTCTGGTTAGAGCTTACTACTGAGTTGGTGTTTCAGCAGAAGTTTTCAGCTGTGTTTGAATGAGAACGCTGTCTTTGCTTATGGGGAAAATAGTCCTTGGAGAATGGTGTAGAAGTCACAGTGACTGGAGGCAGAGGCTGTTTTCCCTTACAGAGCAGGACTTGGCAACTGGTTTAATTGTAAGAACCATTAATTTTTTTACTTGGAAACTTTCAACTTGAGAGCTGTTTACACACGGTGCTTCTAACTCCTAAAATGGGGGAGATGTACTTTCTGTTGATAGAATGGGATATAGAAAGAGTTGGGCTATTCCACTGAAGTGTCTCCCAAGACCTGTGCAGTGGTTTTGGATAACAATCTGATAAAACAGAGGTGCTCTTGGCCACGGGTGTAGTGCTTTTTGACTATGTGCAGTCACTCTTTATGAGAAACTTGTGCTGGCATGAGACGGGAACCTTGTGTCTGATGCCAGTAGAGTCAGGGACTTAGTGGACCAATTTCATGGATGTCTGGCACCAGAGATGTGTTTTCTAATTCTGGGCTAATCAGTCATTTCGCAATATCTTTTAGACAGATGCCAGCATACCTGCTTGACTCCATCAGTGTGGTTTGTACCACTAAAGTTGGAAGCGGTTCTCAGCATATGATAGAAATGATAGCTTTAAAATCAAAGTTTGTCTTCCATGAAAATCCACCTTCTTTTTGTGAACAAGCTGTTCAACTAGGCACGATGTTAGGGAGCTTATTGCAACAGGTTGTCAAAAACTGCAGTAAATGGCTTTCTACGGGTTTTGGCTCAAGGTTTCTCGACTATATAGGTAGAACAGCTGAGCTCTGCCCTGTGCTGAGCTCCCTGAGCAGCTACAAGCGTTAAGACTGAGAATTGCCAGCGTTCATCCTCGCCCTCCGGAGTGTTGCCTGCCCTCCTGAGACGACGTAGTGTTGTTGGCTGGGATGGGAGCGTGAACAGCTTCCTGTGATGCAGGGGCATCTTGCAACTGGCAGCTTCCTCCTGAATCGTAAGGGCAAGGGAGGGTTGTAGGATGAAAAAGCAGCAGGGAGCTGTGGCTGGCTGTTACTGTCTTTGCAGTGTTTCTCAAAGACATGAGTGTCTGGGGGGAGCTGATGAGCCCACCAATACGAGGCAGGATCTGCTGAGAGCCAGAGGGGTGCTATATGCTGATGGTGATGATTTTATCAATGCATCGGTCTGCTGCCTTGGCTGTGGCTTAATCTCGTCAGTGCCTAGAGGCCGTCCTCTTTCCACTTCATTGCAGGCTGTAGTAGAAACCATTTCTTGAATGGAATTTCACTAGAAGTCTAGAATGTGCTGAAGAAGTTCCCTCAAAAATGGACTTTTTTTTTCTTGGGCACTAATGAAGTAAATGTCTGCGGCCTCACTTCTTGAGCTGTTACATGTTAATTTCTTTTACTACTTAATATTTAACATACTGCATTTATTCTATCCAGCAGTTTTCCCCTAGGTCTTGAGCTGAGGTGGTGTTTCTGTTTCCCCTTGTATGTTGGGAGTGGGGTTGCTGTCTGCAGTGCTCAGCTTTTCCAGGTGTGGAAGTACTGGCAAAGGACTTGCCTGGTAGCAAACTGTAGGTCTTGTATTGTACTGTGTGACAAACAGACACTTGCTTCTTGTCAGATTTGATGTGAATAATCTTGCTTCCCTGGTTCTTGTAATTACGTCCCTTTTTGGAGGCTGAGGAACTCAGCATCACTTAAGCAAACTAGAGAAATATGCTGTGGCTTGTTTTATCAGTCCTTCTTTTTTGTTCCAGCAAGTACAGAAGCAAGTATTTCTAGTAACAGACTGTGGATAACTTAGCAGGAGAGTCGTCAAGTAACATCATTAAGTTTTGTCACTGCTTCTGAGGGACAGAATAATATGCATGAGGATGTTTATAGTGCTTCCTTTTAATCCGGCACCTGGCTAGCTGAAGTTAAATGTCAGTGTACGCATCTCCCGTTGCTCCGTTGCTCATCTTTAATGATTTTGCTTGTCTTGGAATACATTAACCTTCCTCCCCCCATCCTTCTGCAACTCTTTATGCTGTCTTCAGCTTTTGTACCCATTTAAAGCTCTGTCGCCTCCCAGCACCCTTCGGAGAGAAGTGCTATCTATCCCGAGACACTGAGGCTGTATCCCATATTTGCTTTAAGCTGACACAACTGCGGGTTTTTACTAACTGGGTCAATCCTGCCCTTACTCAGGACGCTGTGTCCCCTGGCCCCTTGTTTGCTGGCACTGGTGCTGATGCTGCCACATGGCAAACCAGGTCAGGGAGCTGATCGGGCTACAGTGTGGGAGAGGATGGGACAAATCTCCTGATAGCCACAAAAACCCTGAAACTGCAGCTGGAATAGTTTGTCTGGAGTTGTACAAGACGACAGTCGAGTCAAGGTGTTGAATGTAGCTGGTATTTAACAGCTGGATCCTTCTTCTTGGTAGGATTGGGAATAGGTGTTTTCAGCCTTAAACACGTTCTCCTGTAGTATTGCTACCATCTGCTCCCTGTGGTCCTCCACAGTTACCTGTCCTTACTCAGTTCTGCATCTCTCTCAAGCTCCTCTTTGAAAGAGGCTCGTTAGCACCCAGCATTTTACCATTTTACTTTCTTAGCAGCTTTGTTGTGAAGTCTCCATAGCTTGCTGCTTAGTCTCTAAGGTGTGGGTGTTCTTACGACTGAACTTCTCTGATGTGTTGTTTTTTCCAAATAAAAGCAGATTAACTTTAGTCCTGTGTATGGTCCGTGTAGTGTAGTTGAAGTGTAGAGTTAATTGAGATATACAGATGCTTAAATTATCCCTGAAATTGTTCAAAGAGGGAACTGTTCTGTTACAGACTGGACATGAATACGTGAACTTCTGACCTCTTGCTGATCTGAGAGTTCATTGCCTTAAAGGAACAAACAAAAGTGCAATGAGGTTGACAGAGATACTGCGCACTCAGTTCAGCCTAAAATGTCTTCTGTAGAGGCTAATATTTGCTGTGGTAGGTATTTAAAAAGTGAAATGCGATGCATCTCTTGCAGGCTATTTCCATAGGCTTAGTCATGTAGAAAAAGAGTAGGTGGTCAAGAATTAGTGCTAGCAGAGCTAACTCTTGTTCTTTTGCATTGCTAATGATGAACGCTGTCTTCCACCTCACATCACCAGATGATTTCTTTTGAGAGCTCAGTGGCAGGCAGCCACACTTTTCCCGCAGATTCTTTTGACTTGTGCATTACACTTAGAAAATGGGCAAATGGAAACTCTGGCAGCTGCCTGACTTCCTCTCAAAAATAAAAGGTTCCCTAAATCTCAGCTGGTTCACAGACTTGGTTCAAATGCTTCACATTTGGATTCATTCCTATAGCTTTCAGACGGCCTATATTATTGAAGAAAAAAATCTGCTTAATATTCCTACAGAGAGTATGCGGAGTGCAAATGACTTAGTTGAACTGTTTGCAGCTACTGTAGACATGGAAAACTGCTTGAAATGGATTGAAGATCTGCTAGTTTAGTAGTATTATTCTGGGGATTGAGGTGTTCCTTCTGGCAGTTCTTTTGTCAGTATGTGGTATGTGTTTATCTGTTGACATGTCGGCCCCGTACAACAAACAAGAAGTTGTGATGCACAGCCTGCAGGCTCAAATGTCTCCCAAAACTCGGGATGCACAGGAACTGTTGTATTCTCCTGGAAGCTCTAGGCAGAGACGTATACCTTAATTTTACCACCAAGTATGTTTGGATTCAATTCTGAGAAAGTATGGACGCTGGCTTGCTGCTCTGTAGTACTGGGATATATATGGAGGGGAGAGGCTTGCTAGGGATCCAAAGCCTACGGTAAGTAGATGGTAGGGTTTGTGTAGAAGAAAGATATCTTGTAGGGATTTGAAAGCAAACCTTGTTTCATTTTTGCTAAGAAGAAAGTGCAAGAGAATATTACAGCTTTGAGACTGGAAAATATTTGTGCATTTCCTTGTTGCTCCCACGTGTTGAGGAAATTGTCGAGTAATGGCTGGATTTTTATCTGGTGTCATCTTTGTTTTCTGCTTCAGCTTTTCTTTAGAAGGATTTTTGTGACTACAGAAACCTCCATCTGTTTAGGTGTTTTGGGTATTTTTCTTTGACTCAAGAAAAATCTTAAAAAACCAAACCCCAAAACCCAGAAACTATGGGCTAAATGCTGCTCTAGTTTTTTTCAGCTGTTGGCAGTGGAGTGAATAGATTTTAGTAATCCTATCTACAGATGTGTGTTGTCTAAAAGGAAACTTAATACAACTTTTACTTGTTCCTGATTGGCTTCAGCAAGTTAAATATTTTTGTCCGCACTGTTTGTCTAATTCTTTCTAGGTAACAAAATAAAGGCTTCGGTTATCAGGGGGGTAGAATTTACTAAGCTTTAACCACTGTGAACTTCATGTTGTTACATCCAAAATGCGTCACAGCTTGCTGCGAAGGGCTTGAAAATAGTACAAAATAAAAGTACTGGCTTTGGCCATAGTTGTAGAGAGTAAACATGGACATTGAAATAAGAGGCCTCTGGAGTGAAGGAAAAAACTTCCTTTAAAAACTCGCACTTAACGCTTTTGTTTTCTACAGGAGTCTTGAAATTTATTTTAAACTACTGATTCATTCGAGACAGCTGACAAAGCTGAGCAGGCCTAGATCTGATCTTCAGTGCCTTGCAGAAGCTTTGGAGACCTTTTGGTCCGCAGTGCTATCCTGGCAAGAAACATAAGGAGTGTGCTAGAATAGGTCTGGCTTCAGATACAGAATCCACCTAGAAATCCTCCTTTTTTTCCCTGGTGGTGTCAGACAGGTGGTGATTCAGCTTCCAAAACAAGCTGCTGCTGGTTTGCAGTGCAAGTAGAATGAATGTGGAACTGCTCCCAGCAGAAAGAAACGTTTCTGGGAAGCAAGCTGGAGTATTTCCAAACCAATGTCCCATGGAAGACAAGAAGCATTATTAAAAGAGGCTGAAGGCACAGTAGGGGAGAAGTGTCATATCTTGACAAGTGCAGCCTGTGGGTGTTGAGCATGGGAGAGAGGTTAAATCACCCTTTCAGATCGTATGTGGTGTAATTCATCCTCTTGAGCTATTTATGTCCAATTATCTATTGGCTGCCATAGGGATAAATATGGTTTTGCGTTCTGTCTTGAAGACCGAACGCTCTAATGATAACCAAAAGGCTGGATTTCTGTCTAGGTTTGTGATTAGAAAAATCTGCCTCAGTGTGGGATTTCTTACAGCGCATGCATTTCTTCTATGGGAGGTTGGCTCTTCTGAATCAAAAATCCCTGAATTAATGAAATATCAAGTTTAAAGCCTCTCATGTCTTGCCTCAACTTTATAAATGCTGAAGAAGTGGGAGTTAGGAACCCTACTCTTAAAACCAAAATAAACCACTTTTCTACATACGTTGAGCAAACTTCTGGCTTTCCTCAATTACCTAATGCTAGGGGAGAGCTGATGTTTTTGGCTCTAAGACAGGTGAAAGTAAAATCTGCCCTGCTTTCACAGAGTATTTAATTTGAGAAACTTGCAGAGCTGAGTTTATGAAAGTTGAAAGCAGTTTTGTCTTTTAAGACCAAATTCAGCACCTTTCAGGAGCTCTTGAGTGCCCTTATTTTCCTATTAGATGGTCTCTAAATAGAGTATTTATCTTCTCCCAGGAAGTACTTGCTGGCTTGGATTTTAATTAAAACCTGGATTTCAGTCACGACAAACTACAGGATGCTAGGAAATGCTTTAAAATATTCTCTGAACATTGTTTCATGCTTAACAAAGATTTTTACCTTTTTGTAAATAGATAGAGATGTGTGCAGTAAGGATTATTCTTTTTTGTCTGTATGTTTACCAAGGGATTTTCTATAAGTAGACAGAGGCATTCATAATCTGTTAAATTCATACCTCAAAGCCACAATTACTGGGGTCGGAAGAACTGAAAAGTATTAGATGCAACTTAGTAATTTCATTTTTTCCTTTCTCTGCTGGGGAATGTAAAACTGATTCCTGAGCAAGTTTGCCGGGTACCATGCTACCAAAGAGCATAGCTGTTGGATATTACGTGATTAAGGACCCCTGAATGCATCCTGCATCTGAGCAGTGTATGTGCAATGTACTGTTTCAATACGGAACCGTGTAAATCTGCCATTCGAGTCCTCAGTCTGCCTGTGGTAGTTATCACTGTACCAGTGATGTAAACTGGGTGTCTGAACTCCCATTTTTTTTTTTTTCAGGTAATGCATACACACGGAACAAATGCTTGTTATGAAGAGCTTGTGTCTTGAGATGGTGGGGTGATGGGTGGGATATAGCCAGGGTGAGCAGCGGTGAAGAGGCTAGCCATTAGCTGTCTAATAGTTTATCGTGCCTGCAGAAGGTAAAGTAGGTTTTTTTAGAGGAGACATTTGAAGAACAATAGCAACAAGTTCCGCAAATGCTTGCTAAGCTCTTCCCAGACTGAAGAGCGATCCCAGAGAGCCTGGGTGTTACGAATCTCCTTTTCAAAAAAATTAACGTTTATGTGATAGACCGATAACATGTAACCAGAATTAGGAACTGACCTCTGGAGGCTGAAGAGATGAAATGCGGTAGGTGTGCAGAGGGAGAGAGGAAGGCACAAGGGTAGCTTGGGCAGAGTGCTGGAGTTAATGCTTCTCACAGAAATGCTGCAGTTGGCATATCTGGCCAGTGACCTAATGCATCTTCTGTTTCTCTTCTTGCTTAACTCTCTGAAGAGAATGTAAACTATTATTTTGTTGTTCATCCAGCGCTTGGTTGTCCCATATCATAGCATTTAAACAATCTGCTTTTCTTCCCTTTTCTTAAATGAAGCTCCAGAGATGCTGCCTGACCTAGTTTTAACTTAACATGTACTAAAATGGTTGAATTATACATGCATTGGCAACTTTCCTTTTGCTTAAATAAGGGGGAGGGATTCTATTCTTAATTAAATGCACCACACTGGAGATTTATAGACAATTGGCATGACCTGGCAGGAAAACTGGGTAATTCTTGATTGATCTAGTAGCGAGTATTCTTTTTATTTTAGTGCTTACACATTTAGTTCATTAACAAGTTTAACAAAGTAACTGACACATATAGAGAATTTACTTAAAATGAAGGCTTTGGAGTAGCATACTGGATTGAGTTAGGCTGAAGTTACCTGCATTAAAAGTGATTTTGCTATAATGGAAGTATAAACGTTTTATACAGCAAAATTTGTGTTTTGCAGATGGCTTATTCAATCAGTATATCAGTCAACAAGAATACAAACCTCGCTGGGGGCAGATCATCCCCAAAAGCACCAAAGGTAAGGATATTAAGATATAACTCATGTACTGCCAGTTCTGTCTTGTTCCTTTGAGGACATTGAGCAAGAAAATGATGCAGTAAAGCCTCCTGTAGGACAGTTGTTCTAGGAAACGGTTTAGTCTATGAAAAACTTGCATTTGTCTGCAAAGTTGGTGAAATGCAGCCTGGTTTCTGGTTGAGTAAGGAACGCTACAGGAACACTAGCTGTAGTTTCAAGGATAGCTCATCAGTTCAGAAACAGATCTTAGAATGTAGGTTAAGTGTGAGAGCAGTTACCTGTGTGACTGGATTTAACGCATGGAGTCAACTTAATGGTACAGCAAAGACTGGTAAATAAATACATTATCTTAACAGGGAGTATTTTAAATTTGAGATGCATCTTTTGAAGTCTTGGTCTGTTATACAGTAAATCTAAACTGCAGAATCTTTTTCCGTTGCTTTCTGCATTGAGAGGAGACTCGTAGCAGCAGCCTTGACTACAAAGTACAAAAATCACTGTCATGCTGCAAATGTAGGATTCAACGTGACAATCGCCAAATGTGGAGCACCGTACCCAAACCTCTTGGGAAGGGTTATCTATGAATACAAGCGGGTCTCCAGCAGAACGTGGGTTATCTTTCTAATGTTGCTTCCCATAGATGACACCTATCCTGAACGCTTAAGATATCTAAAGTGGTTGGAAAGCTGCTTTAATTGGACAGTTGGAATTCCCTTATATGTGAGAATAGGTAATTGGTGCAAAGCTAGCTATGCTATATCTATGCCATTACCTCTTTGCTTCCATCCCATGGGTACATTGCCCTGTCATTTGAGTATCTGTTCTCGCTGCTCAGCCTTCAGGCAGCTCTCAGGTGGGGAGAGATGGAAGGGGAGCAAAAGGTTGTCTGTGTCCTCACCGCTGGAGAGCTGCAAAGATAGCTCAGACCTCATTTGTGTGGACCTGCATGCCTCAGGAACTCTCAAGCTCCTTTCCAAGGCTCTCAGAATTGCAGTAGAGTACTGTATTCACTTTAGCTATCTGTACTATCAGTCACCAGATAATTCAGTATAAAACTCCGTACAGTTTTATAATGCACAGAATACTACTACCTGGAAAAAGTGCTGTGCTAATGTTTAAAGAATGGTGAGTTACTGAGTTGCTCTGCTTCCGTATAGTATTTAGGCCGTATGTGAGGTTGTATCTTTCTTTGGTTTAAAAATCTTACAACGGAAAACTCTCCCCTCCCTCTTTTTTTAAAGGTGATGGGGAAGACAGCCGACCAGGGATGAGAGGTGGCCATCAGATGGTTATAGATGTTCAGACAGGTGAGTAGTTGCTAAATTTCTTAACTAACTTAATTATTTAATCAAATATTTTTCAGATAAACATGCAAATGTGTTTTTCTTCAGAGACTGTCTTAACTTCAGGTTTTGAGGAAAAAACTGCACTTTCTAATAGTTGGATTAAATACTCTTCTTTCTGGAACTATACTCCAACTGCCTTTCCCACCCCCCTTCTTCCCTATTAGTTCTCTATTACGCCTTAGTCATTGTCTTGTCTTAACTAAGAAACCAAGAACGATTGTTTTTAATTTTTTGTCCCTCCTACCCTCTTTGAGCAGGAGCTTAAACAAGAGAAGTGAAATTAGGGATGATAATTTCCCTTATCTGCTACTTACTATGCTCTTTGGAATAGTGCTCAAGCAATAGATCTGATGTGTGGAAAAATTCCTTGTATTTTGGTTGGAGTGGCTTCTAATTTCCACAGTGTGCAAGAAACTCCTATTAAATATAATTTGTTAGACATTTTTTACAAAAATGTTTCCTATAGCAGTTTGAAGAATGGTTCAGCGTCTATTTCAAAGAGCCTGCAGAGAAAAGAAAGGAGGGGGGGTATAAATAACAGTTCTGCTGATTGTTGTTCTCCATAATTTTCTGTATCTTTGTCTTGCTTTTATTTAATCAGATTTCTGTGGTATGTCATTCCTTACTAAAATAAGGAATGCATCTGCCTACATCTATGCTAAGTAAATGATTTGTATGAGTAAAAGGATTGTTCTTACGAAAGGAGAAATAAGATCAGGGTGTGAGTAGCAGAGAGGAATATAGGGTGGCATTGAGGAACTTTGCAAAAAATTGCCATGGCCGTATCTGTTGTGGTCATATGGACGGGGACTGAAGCACGTGACAGGATGGTACCTTCAAGAGTAATTTGCTAAGTCATAGTGAACAAGCAAAAATGCAGCAGTAGCTGCAGTCTTTGGCTTTTACTCAGAATGTAGTTACTGCTCTAGAGGAAGCACTCGAGTTATTTTGTATATGAAAGCAAACTTTTTTGGTTGAAGAGGTTTCAGATTCATTAGCATAAAATGCTGCTGGAGGATTGCTGGTGTTTGCCTACAAAAGAAGCTGTGAACGCTCCCTAGTGGCCTCGGTGAATAAGTAGACAGTGACTGTTTCACAAGTGCGCTGAAGAAACATGAGGCTTGTCAACTTGGAAATGATAGTCCTTTAGACCTCCTGAAAATAATATATTCATGGTAACGTGAGTCTTCGTTGCCATTCCTGTTGGTTTTCTTAAGTCCTAGTAAGATTATTATTTCTGCCTTTGACTTAAGTTTTCACTCTGCTTTAACAAGGCAGTAAAAAGCATCGGTATCTTTTTTTACCTGCACAAAACTGACTGGGGAGCACCTACGGAGGTGGAGTCCCAGCGTGGGAGGACTGGATCTCCTTCTGTCATATCATAGTCCTTTCTTGCTGCAGCTCTATCCAGTGGTGGTGGGATACCTTCACAAAGTTTCTTTGTGGGATATTTGGGAAGTTGCCCTTAGTTTTGCTTCCAGGCCCACTGAGGCTTGTAAAAGGCTAAACGTTTTTGAGATTACCAGTTTTGCCAGTTAATTTGGCTCGTGAGCAGGCCAGGGGGAAGTTCTTGGTGCTGTTATTCTTAAAAGCAGCTGTTGCTGATTGCTTTGAGTTTTCCTTTTGAACATAGGTAGTGTTTAATGAGACTGTGGGAATTTAGCCAGTTATGTCAGGATGTGTTTTACAAACTGGAGCTGTAAAGCTCCCTGGCTAACCTTGAGCAAATCTAGTGTTAATGGAAAAAGGAGCAGCAGTGTACTCTTTCCTTCAAAGACATCCTCCCTTCCTTATCCACACACTTGTTGAGTTGTTTTTTTCCAGAAGCTTTTGGCAGCTGAAGAAAAATAAGCTCACTTTCCACTCCTTGTTGGAGGGGTGAGGTCCTTTTCAAAAATGAATGTTTTCTTCAACTTTAATCTATTAGAAATGAAGTGAAACACCAAAATCGTACATATAAGGAGGTTCTGAAGATTCATATCACATAGAATAGGTGTTGGAAGCAAATTTTAATCTCTGATATCCAGACCTGCTGTAGCTATAACTGGACTATAAATGGTTCTGCTTTTTGATTAACCTCAAGGAAATATTAACCAGCTATTATTGACTACAAAAATGTAAGTTTATTTTTAATAAGTTTTGTAATAGTACCGAGCCTGCTGGATGCACATGTGTTAATGTTAGGATAGAGGATACGGGTTGGTAAGCAGTTGAGCTAGATCTCAACTTACTGATAGTGCGTTGAGTCACTGAGACTGTTTATGCTCGAAGTTTCAGGTAGAATATAGTTTAACTTGGTCTAAACTGCCTTTTAGCATGTTTTATCTTCCAATTAGGGTAGGCTGAAAGTAACTGAAAGAGCAATTCTGGCATCTCTGCTGGCAACCGGTAACTTGTGCTGTAGCTCATTTCCATCTGATGTTCATGCTCCTAATACCTGCTACTGCTGTCTTAGAATAGATGTTCTTTGTGCTTTGAAAACTGCTTAAAGCAGTTTGAAATGAAAGTGTAGGCATTTTGGGATACGGAACTGAGAATGCAGCCTGGTATCTTCCTGTATGTAAAAAAAAAAAAAGGAAGGTACTGATTCTCACAATGTCTTCCATGCTTTTTAATCATATTAACAGACTGGCATGACTCTGGGTGGCAGAATTAGGAAGTTGCTTTTGGTATGCATTGTGCAGAAACATTTACTAAGAGGCATTCCCGGTTATAGTTGGAAACCACTGTTATGTACTTTAAAGCTTTAGACTGTAAGTGAAAACAGAAGGCTTATGTTATTTCTGCTTTTTCCTGCAAGGTGCATGTCATGTAGTTCTCCATATGGGAGGCTGGAGAGTTGTCTGCACTTTTCTACAAGGAAGGAGAAGTATTTGGGTAGTCACAACGCAGGTGCATAGATTAAAACAAATGTATCCCCAAAACACCAAAAGTGAAAACAACCCCAAAACTACACAAGAACATACTGTGTTAAGTGCGCTGAATGTCAGTCATGAAAAGCTGTACTGCTATTTATGTAGGCCCTGGTGAAATATTCAAGCAGTAAAACGCAGGCTTGTATATAGTACTGTGTTCCTAGATGCATTAAGCCCTAATGCAGTTTTGGACAAGGATGGTAGGCATCTAGCACTAGTACCTTGATTAACATAACTTTAATTATTCTGGAAGAAAGTGGGAATGGGTAAGTGGATTGCCAAATTCAAGTTTTAAGGAATAACATTGGTACTTTAGAGGAATACGTGTACTGTGTTTTGGAGATTTGGTTTATAATTCTAGTTAAGGTGGAATTGATCTCCTCTGCTCTTACAGGGCAGACACAATTTTATGTGAATGACAGTGTAGTCCATAAAGCCATAGAATTGATTTTGTTAACAGAATTATAGACTATATAGAAATCGTTCTATTAAAAAAAAGAATCTTTTGTGATATATCCTGTTTGTTTAAACATTCATCTTTAATTTAGATAAAGCCTTCTGAAGTTTTCTGATGAGCCTGTTTTAGAAATAATAGCTAAGCAACCAGGATGATTTTTTTGTCTGCATTTCTCTTCTCTTTGGCAAGTGAAACATTTTTTGAAGGAAAATATTAGTGAAATGGTCTTTGTTGATGTTACCTCTGTTTACTCACTGAAGTGAAACTACTCTGTAATTTTGGTTGTATGTTATTTGCTTTTCCTTTCATGAGAAGGAGCTCTGCTTACTTCATTCTATTAGATAAGTGAGAACAAATCTGTTGGTTGGGAGCACTGGGAGATTCAGAGCAGTGGGCACAGCGTGCCCATAGCATACGTGGGCAACACAGTGGAAATCATGAGGCTGGTTCAAAAGCAGCATGGAAAGATGAAGTGAGAGCAGCAGACATGAAGGATGCTGGTTTGCCTGAGGAAAACATGGCTATCCATAAGATATTTAAAGACAGGACTTGTGTACAAGATGAAAAGATCTCTAAAACAAAACACAGATGGCTTCTAAGCTCTGAAACACAAACAGCTGCTGAATCCTTGAGGTTACTCAGCTTCGCAGTGCTTTCACATTTGAGAGGAAGACTGTATGCCTACCCAGAACAGCCCTAGCCTGAAAAACTTTACATCCAGCCACCATCTACAGTGAACTGTGATTCAGAAGCTGAGTGGTGTGGTACTTCAAGAAAGTTTAAGGTCTGGCTTTATAGTTGTCCTCTAAGTGCTCCTTACAAATTGGACAATGCTGCTTGCAGGTAACTAAATCTATGGTTACTACATAGGGAAGTGACGTCCTTTCATAGAAGGCTTTTGAGATATCTTACGCCTAAATTTTTTACTTCTGAGACAAGTCCTTCTTAGTTATAGGGACACTGATTCTCAAATACACCCTCAGCAAGTTTGGGCTGGTAGCAAATTGGGAGGGCAGTGGTTGATGAACTAGAGACTAGGGCTGTGAGTCAGAGGGACCCTGACAGGCTGCAGGGAGAGCATTGTGAGGTTCAGCCGAGACAAATGCAGAGTCCTGAACCTGGGATGTCACAGCTGTGTGCAATACTATAGGCCAGGGACTGACTGCATGGAAAGAAGGTTTGCAAGGTGGTAGACAGCTGAACGTGCATCAGCGATGTGTCCTTGTGGCAATGAAGGCCAACGTCCTGTTAGGCTGTATTAGCAGAAGTACAGCCAGCAGGTGAAGGGGGGTGATGATGTCCCTCTACTTGGTACTTGTGAGGCCACGTCTGGAGTACTGTGCCCAGTTTGGGCTCTCTGGTACAAGGATGGTGACAATCTGAAAGGGAACCCAGTGAAGGGCCGCCAAGGTGGTCGAGGGCTGGAGCACATGATGTATGAAGAGACGCTTAGGGAGCTGCTTTTGTTATGCGTGTGGAAGAAAAGGCTCATGGGAGGATCCTAGAGCTGTCTTCAACTAGCTGGTGGGAGAGCATGGAGAAGATAGAGCCAGACTCATTTTGGGAGGGTGCACAGGGATAGGATGAAGGGCAGTGGACACATTGCAGCAAGGAAAATTCCAGTTCGATATTAGGGGGAAAAAAAAATTGTAATGGAAGATGATCAGTCATTGAAGCAGGGGTCCAGACAGTCTGAAATACCCATGTTTGAAGATACTCAAAGTGTAACTGAATACTTCCATGTGCAACCTGGTCTGTTACTGAAGTTAGCCCTACTGTGAGGGGTTGGGGAGATAACTGATGGACCAGATGACTTGCAGAGGTGTTTTAGGTCCATAATTCTTCAATATTCTATGGAGAACTGTTGTAGCAGAGACATGGAAGTATCATTTGACCGAAGTGTTTAGTTAAATATGTCACCAGGATTGGAATGTATTCGTTGTGCCTATTAGAAGGTAAAACCAGGGATGCTCAGGCATACCAAGCATCTTTCATCAGCCTGGCTTTAGCAATTTGACACGTAACATCCTGATCGGATGAGGAAGACCCGCTATACCAGAATCCCACTGAGGATTTCACCACACAAAGGAGATGGAGTTAACAGAAGTTAGAAAAACTGACTTGGAGAACATATGTGAACCTAGACTGAAACTACGCCAGGATTTTTGGTATTTAACAGGGATTGGAGAAGTCTGCTTTGCATACTCTTCTGAAAAATAGAACTTAAGGAGAGGTTGACTGGAAATACGTTAGTTTTTGGGAACGTACGTTCTTTAATAATTTGAGGAGTGCTCTGGCACCTTCTAGTCTTCCAGAGAGTAAGGGAAGAAAAGAATTCAGACATTATAGAAACATTTTTGGCTGAGCAAGCAGTTTTGAATTAAATATGTTCTGTGAATATTTCTAAGTGTTAAATTTGTATTCAAAAATAAATTTAGAGGAGACAATGTTAAGATGCTGGAGGAGACATTTGACTTTGTAAATGTAGCTGCTAAAAGCTTTGGGTAAATATAACCACGTTCATGTTTTTCTTGTTGGCTTGCAGGTAGGTTTGAAAATTCTGCTCTGTCCCTAAAGCAGAGTAGAGGCTTGCTCTAATAAAGCAGCATCAATATTGCTGCGTTACATATTGCTCGGATACAAAGGAAGAATCCTTCCCTCTGCCAGAGCAAGATGCCCGGCTTGAATCTTGAGTTCCCTAGTGCTACTGAAGTAGAAGTAGTTATATTGATGTGAGACTGCTGTGCTCCCCTTAAGCTTCCCCACTCCTGATGCCTGGAAGTTTGTGGTCTCTTCCCTGTGTCTGCCCTTACCTTTGAGTGTTTGTTGATACGTTGTTTAGGCTGCAATGCCTGGGAGTGCTGGGCGTGTGTCCTGGGTCTGTCCTGGTTGGATCTCTGCGTGCAGGGTGAAAAAAATAACCCTCCCCACAAAATCTGAATTGATAAATAGAGCAGAAGGTGTGGTACTGGTTGGGGAACAGAGTGAAGTTTGACTTTTTAAAAAGAAATAAAAACCACAAACAAACAAAAAAAAAAACAAACCACCAAACAACTAATTTTTCCTTATACCATGGGAGAACAATTGCAAACTTCAGAAGAACTATGAAAAATTATTTTCTTGACATAACCAGCAACAGATGCATTTATGCATTAAGAAATGTTCCTTTAAAAATACAGAAACTTCCTATGAAAATATGTATATAGTTCTGTAATAAGTCATAAGACTAAAAACCGATAGCCATTCTGAGTCTAGATAGTGATGGAGCCTTTCTTTTATCCGAGCTACAGTTTTACATCAAGGTGAATAAGTTTGGCACACTGTTCACATACACTCATACACTTGTGTTATCACAGTTGCTCTCGGACTCTGGGGATGCTCACAGTTTGCACGAGCTGGATGATTGTACCCCTCTTTCAGTGCTTACATGCCATTTAATTCTGTCAGCTTGATTTAGGTAACTTTCAAAATCTGAGTTTTCATCAGATTCATTCAGGTTTGCTATTAAATTTCATCTGAGACAACAAAGCCTTTACAGGCAGGCATGACATTTTGGCAAGGCCCCAATAGGATACTTAGCTGGTGCCAAATCTTTTATTTTTCTCGGCTATCAATGAAGCTGTTGTGGTAATGTGGGTTTTGTGAGCTGTGAGAATTTATGTGCACAAAGGGACCTGCTCTTTGCAGGGAACACTGGGAGCCCTGAGTCCAGGAGGAAGGGTAATTAAAGTTAATGAACCAGGGTAACCTTTCCATGGTGATGACCACTATCCTGATGGTAGGTAAGGGTCAGGGACTATTCCCATTTTATAATCGTGCTTCTAACTCTGCTCTTTAATTGGTGTTGGATTAAAAATTGGCCATTACCTGCATAATAGAACTGGTTTGTGGATTTTAAAGGAGTTTTTCAAAGCTCTGCAAGTCTTCAGTGGCTTGTTCTTCTTGGACTTGGCTTTGTGTTGTGTTTTAATGCAGTCTAAAAATGAAGTATTTTTAGCATTTGAGACCAGATAGTGATGTTTCTATAATGGGAGCAGCTTAGTTATCTCTCCAAGTCAGAACAGAGACTTCTTCCTTAAATGCTTCCCATGTTCAGAGGCTTCATCTTGTTTTATCAGCAAGTCTGAGAAGCCTTTGAACTTGCTGTCCACGGAGCGGTTGTGAGTTTAAGGTAACAGGCTCTAAAGGTGGGCCTGAAACACTGACTTATATCTGTAACTCTTCTACTTACTTGCTTTTGTGGCATCAGATAAGCTACTTTATGCAAGGCGTTTCCCTTGAAGAGGATTTAATTGCTGAAGTAAATTTTCCTTTGTAAGGGATGGACTAAACAGAAAACCTTTGTTGCTGCTATCTCAGAAGTCTTTCTAATCTATAGGTCTTGCACCAAATGTGGGGTACAAGCTGAGATGTCATTGATAGACTAAAAGGCACAGTATCCAAAATGTTAAATATTGTTCATTTCTGTCCTGAATTTTAATCAGAAGGCTGTGGATTTGATTGCCTCTTATGTAAATGTAGAAATAGAAAATGAGTCCTTGAGAATTGGCTGTCTATCAAGCCTAAAAACTTCCATTACAAAACTAAACCACATTTATTTGTCTTGGTGACTGGTTCCATTCAAAGAGGAGTGGTGCTTTAAGTAAGAATTGGTTTCAATTTCTCTTCTGATAGTCTGTTTGTTTGTCACAGGTGTTTCGTAGGTATTAGCCTGTTTAAAGGCATTCTCTTTTTAAAATAAAATTAACACGTTCTTCCTTTTTTTTAATAGAAACTGTTTATTTGTTTGGTGGCTGGGACGGAACTCAGGATCTGGCTGACTTCTGGGCATACAGTGTGAAAGAAAACCAGTGGACCTGTATATCCAGGGATACCGAGAAAGAGGTGAGTTCTGCAAGCGTCCGTATTGTTAATAATACATGAATTGCTGCACAGAAAAATGCCAGGCTTCTGAAGTGCTTGTATTGACGTATAGTGTGTAGTGAGAGCCACAAAATTCAGACCTTCAAGTTCTGAAGAGTTTTGAAATGCTTACGCTGGGAAAATGTGAGATGGATGTGAGTTTGAAGTGTTAAGATTACTGGAGGGGAAAGGTTGTTTCTCAAGAGCGGACTGATCGGCCAAAAATCAGTTCTGTGAGTAGAACATGAGTTAAATGATTTGATAGGACTGAACAACCAGACTTGCTAATAAACATTTCAGACCTGATGCTGGTGTTGAGCTTCAGAAACAAATTGTTTATTTTTTTAGCTTCTGTCAAAAATGAGTAGAAATGGACAACTAACAGACGGGAATCTAGAGGACGGGGGTAACTGCCAGAGGCCACACAATCCCGAGAGCTTTTGTGGTATTCACTTGAGCCATTTTCCTTGGCTTGTTTTGCTCAGTATTTGACGTATGAAACATCTGAAATGAGTGTAGCTTGGGTTATAGGAGGTAAAAAAAAAGTCCAAGACCTTTGGCTTGTGTAATTCATTTTACTGTGTACTGTGAAATGTTAAAGTTCCATGTGGTTATTGTGTTTTGAGTTCGTTACTTGTTTGTCAGAGCATAACTTCAAGAAATTCATGCAGCCTCTTCCTGAAGGTATGAAAAGTTTGAGATTCCACCACTTTTTGACAAATTCAGGAGTTGATTTCCTCAAGTATTTGGAAAAAAGTATGAAAACATCTTATTTCCCATTTGTATTTTTCCAGTTTCTTGTCATAGCTTATTTTGTGAGCTTCCATACCAGATTAAATGACACTTTAATATTCCCATTTTTTCCTGGCAAAGGTGTTTAGAGGTGGTAATCAAGTAGGACAAATAGCCTGAGCTGAAAAAAAACTCACAGTAAGGCACTTCCCGTAGCCTTCAAATCTCTGTGCGTGTCATGCACTTACTGTTTCTAACATCCGTTACAAAATGGGCAATAACAAAACTGAACGTGATATTCCGGTTTCTATCATAATAGAGCTGTATAAAGGTAAAATTGTCCTTACATTTTTATATCCTTGTAAGCTGTTTTTTAACTCTTATTGTAAGGGTTTTTTTTTTCACTCTCAGTCCTTTCATCACTGCTCATGGCTACTTGTATGTTTGCTGATCCGATGCTGAAGCCGGATTTAGTCTTCCAGGGTCCAGTCCTGTAGGCTGGGCTTGTGTTGCTTCTGTTTTGTCTTGAACCATGGGTTTTACTATTTTTCTCACTGTTTACCCAACAGGTAACCAACCTCCTTAAGATAAGGAGGGGTTTGTGTGACATAATACCAAGGGGAAATTTGGACTCATCTCTTTTATCGACTATATAGTAAAGATAAAACAGCTAGACCTTCCTTTCCTTTGTCTCCCTTTATAAGGAGGTTGGGAAAGTGAAGAAGAGCTATAGAAAAAAAGGCACAACAATTTTTAATTGCCTCTTCTTTCATTTTTCTTCTTGCTTTGTAGCTGCTTAGTGTGTACATTTGTCTAGCTCAGGATGCAGTGAAATAGAGCCTTCCTGTCAAAAAGGAGTTACCGTGTTTTCTTCCTGCACAAACCAGTGTGGGTCGTTCTGGTGTTTAAGGGATTAATTTCCTTTCCTGCTGGGATCCTGCCTCATCCAGTTGAGCTTCTGTAGAGCTTGGGAGGCCTGGCTGGGATGCAAGGCATCAGCAGTGCCAGGAGCAGCGTATGTTTTCTGTTCAAGTTCCTCATGCCTGACTCTAGCAGGGTAATGTTGGGATGGGAGAAAGAAGGGATACGCGAAGGACGGGCTGCGTAGGAGAGGCAGTAGAAGAGATGAGTTGATACAATAAAGTGGCTATAAAGGGATTTTGGAGGAAAAAAAAAACCTAAAGGGTGCGATGGAAGGTCAGGAAATTCAGATGGAAGATGGGAAGGGTCTTGGGCTGAGAGGAAGCAAGATAGGGGAATTTAAAAAAAAAATGGAGAATGAGTGGAATGCATAGGGAATTTTGAAGAAGAGACATCCTTAAGAGAAGTGCGAAGAAGTGTGTGTGGCTTTAGCAACGGAGTTCTAGAATGAGACTCTGCGTGGATATAGTCTGCAGTGGAGTTCAGAAGAAGGCTTGCCGAGGGTTTTGGTGACTTACTGAGGTACAGTGAACTGGCAGCTGCTGTACTTGCAAACCAGCAGTGTGTTTTTGTTGTTTTTTTTTTTTTCTAAAGAGAGCTGGATAAAACCTGATTTAGAAATGAAAAGGTCAATCTCAAATGTTGAGAAGTGAATTAAAAAACAAAGACTCCAGATGTTTCTCTAATAGGGACATCAACTTTTCATAAACAATTTGTGAAAAGGAAATGTCTGTTGACATGGAATTTTAAAAAATATTCGGAGTAGATTCCAGTAGAACTTAGTCCTGCTTTTGTGTTGTATTGTACTTGTTCTGCTTCTAGCTCTTTTGTTCTAATTAATCAGTGACAGTCGTTAAATTAGCCACTCAATAATTAAGCTTGGACAGGAGCAGAATATGGTAGAAGTTGCATCTTACCCAGTGTTATCATAGGGGTAACACACAGTAACGCTTTTGTGATAAAGGTACTGGTAGCTTCTGTTGCAATGCGTTATGAAAAGGTCATGTGACCTTTTAGTAAACTCTGTTGCTGCTCTTTTTCAAAATTTGCCAGTGAGCTGGAGAAATGTCTCTTTGTCACCTGAAGTTGCACTTGTGACTTTTAACAGTTAGACTTCCAAAGTTAATTTTCCATAGCCCTTTTTACATCAGGAAAAAATGCTCACAGCACTGCTGGAGTAGCTGAACACTTACAGTCTTAAAAAGGGGGTATAGAGGACCTGCTTGCAGTGTTGGGCTGAACCTCCAGTGTACGCGCTACAGCTGCTGATGGACAAACAGACCTGAATTAGAACTTCCCCACCATCCCTTCAGTGTATGGATCCGGCAAGGCTCCTGCAGTCCTTGTCAAATCGTCCTCCTCCAAGCCTGCATCCTTCCAAGGAGATGCACCATGGAGCAGCTCATGACCTCTCAACTGTACCCACAATTTCTGTCCTTCTGTCTCCCCTCTGGAGTACGCAACAGCTCTGCGAATCAGTTGGCGTGAGGCACAGCCAAGACATGTGAAGTCTAAGATTAGCCTTTAAGAGTTTTTACCCTGGACCAAGTGGAATGTTCTGACAAATGCTGTTGTCTTCAGGGTTTATTAATGGTTGTAGATCAGTAGATCTTTTCAGGATTTGGGAATAAATAGTTTTGAAAAAACAAACCTTGTCATTCCTTGGGCATTTTGATCCTAGGCCAGTGTCAACTAATAGAGAAACTTAACGTGTATGTTTTGGTGTCTAATATTTCTAGTTTCCAAGCAGCAGCTTTCTCTTTTGAAGGCTAATTTAGTGAAATTCGGTACAGGAGGACAGTTTAAGTGAACTGTAGGAAGGACTTTGCTTGGTGTAAATTGATGGTTAGGTGGATTTTTAAATAGGATCAAAATGCTGAAGGGTGTTGATGCCTCTGGAGATTTGATAAATGAGAATAAAGAATTGTGATAGTTGGCATACTTTGTATGTCACTAGTATTCCTGTACCTTGTTTCAGTATTTCCTAGAGATGTGAGAGGAGATACAGGATCTCCCTTCAAACAGTGTTACTGCATGAATTGGTAGCTTCTGTAGTGCATATTTGTAAATGTGGTATGTTGACTCATCCTCATTCTACCTTTTTTAGAGGAGAATTCTGCTCACACATCAGCTCTGTGAAGGATGTGGAAATTGTGTAAATGGGTTAGGTTTATGTGACACTGTGTTTCTCAAACTTTTTAAGCATTTCTTGCCAAAGGTAGAAGTGAAGGTCTTGTCATGGGTTAACTGGTTGAGAAGATAAATCGTTTCTCGCAGTGAAGGAAAGTGTAGGTCAACAAGTGCGTACTGTTCAGTAGGTTCAAAATGATCTAGAAAATCGGTGTATTGTAAGGTGACAGTTTGCTGCTAACACCAAGTGCTTTTCCAGGTTACTGAAAGTAAAAGCTGACAAGTGTAGAAAGATCTCATAATAGTGAGAGCCAGGGTGAATTTCATCTGCTATTGTACTTCCAGTTAAATTTTCTACGGTGTCTGCATGCGTTTCTTCACGTTTGTTGACATGGATGAATTTACCCAAAGCTTCCAAAGTCATATTACCACACAAGCATTTTATGCATTTGTAAGCGTTTGTGACACCTATGACTGATTTTTTTTTTTTGGGTGTGATGCAGAAATAGGTAAGCTTATGTCTGTAAAGCTTTTACCCTATGCTGTTTTAAGTGTAGGAACTGTACTAGTCTCAAATATTGACTCCTTCCCACAGATGGTGATACAGTTTGGAAGACGGTTTAAGTAACTTGAGGGTTTTTTGTTTCAAATACTGTGATGTTTATGGACTTGAGATCTAATATACTGAATCTGCCATGTCCTACTTCTGAGTAGTTCCAGTTGTACAGACGCTCAGTTGTACGAGATGCCTGGTGCCACAAAAGCACATAGGGAGAAAGCAACTGTCCCCAAAAGCTTGCAATAGAAACTTGGATACTGCAGATACACCTCTGAGCCAACTTCCTAAATAGTGTAAATGCCTACAAAAGTAGGGACAAAGAAGGCAGATGCTGAAGTGAACCAAATGAAAAGTATTCTAGGCTGATCCTAAATATCGCATGCTAATGTTTTATTTTCTTCCCTGCTTAGTAGCATAATGGTTTTCAAGTGTTCTAGCCAGTATTCTTTCTCCAAAATGTTAGAGAGAGACTTTCAGATATGCCTGACTAACTTCTCCAGTAATTTCCACATAGGCAGCCTAAAACAAAAAGACCCTGCAGAGGGAGGAGTACCTCGGGGTTTGGGTTTTTTTTTTTATTTTTCTGAAAAGATTTTCAGCTTTGAAAGGTAACTTCTTACTTGCTTATGCTACCTTGTGT